CGCACCGTGTTCCAAAGATGACCTCGGCGCAACAAGCTCCCGAGAATCCGCGCTGCCATCTCCTCAGTAGGTTGCAGGTCAGCAAATTCATCCAAGAAGAAACCGCCGTAGCGATGCACGGGGGACCATCCTTTTTCCTCATAAGTAGAAATCCACTTCCACAGGATGCCGTAGGTAATGATTGAGACTTGATGGCGACGACTATCGAATCGATCTTCGTCGTTCTCGCCCGTGCGCACGTGCACGCAATCAGAGAAGACGTCATGCCGCTCGAACGCTTCCTGCAACTTGACCACAGCGAAATTGCTAGGCAAAACAATCGCCACGGCATACTTGGGGCAACGCTCCTGCAACACTTGAGGTACGATCATCGTTTTCCCGCTACCAGTGGCCGCCTTTATAGCCACGATGCCATTACCGACGATCGCTCTCATGATATCATCGCGACGAGCCGCCACTGGAAGGGCCCCACAATCGCGAAGATAGGAGCTCCCCATGAAAGACGATAGCTTGCGAACGTAAGCTCCATCCGGCAATTCATTCGCCTCCCAAAGGATGTCTTCCATTGGCTTATGGAATACAAGTATAGATCTGCTTAAATTACCAGATGTGCAGACCCATCTCGCGTTATTTCCAGCCACAATGCTACGGACAGGGATGGCGCACACAGAACACAACTTCTGCGGATACAAGGATGTATCAGAATTTTTGATGTAGAACAAGTGTGGACGCGTGTCGACCCTCGTGGCTCGAGATAGCCAAAAGTACCTCCTGAGCGCTCCCAAGATGACCGAGGAGGCGACAAGACCGCCCCAAGACGGCTACAACCGAGGCAAGCTCGAGACGACCGCCGGGATATTTTGACCAAGCGCTCACTGTGATCTCTGGACACCAAGGCTCCCAACAGCGAACGGAAACGTAACAAGCTCTGAACACCAAGGCTCCCAAAGGCGAGCGGTGACGTAACAAGCTCTCAACACCAAGACTCCCAAGAGCGAGCGGCAACGTAACAGTCTTTGAACACAAAGGCTCCCAACAGCGAGCGGTGACAGGACAAGGTCTTAACGCCAAGGCGCGGCAACGTAACAGTCACACTAAGGCTCCCAACAGCGAACGGATACGTAACAAGCTCTGAACACCAAGGCTCCCAGGGCCGAGCGGTGACGTAACAAGCTCTCAACACCAAGGCCCCCACGAACGAGCGGCAACGTAACAATCTTTGAACACCAAAGCTCTCAAGAGCGAGCGGTGACATAAAAAGCTCTCAACACCAAGGCTTCCAGGAGCGAGCGGCAACGTAGCAATCTCTGAACACCAACCCTCCCGAGAGCGAGCGGTGACGTAACACGCTCTCAACACCAAGGCTCCCAAGAGCGATCGGCAACGTAACAATCTCTGAACACAAGGGCTCCCCAAAGCGAGCGGTGACGTAACAAGCTCTCAACACCAAGGCTCCCCATATGTGCATCTATTTCCAATGACCTTTCCGCCGTGGGTGTCTAAGCGAAGATAACTTCGAATATAAACGAGCTTGCGTATTCACAGCCTGGGGGTATCGAACTGTAAATGAGTTTGAGTGTGTATGAGGCCCAATAGTACGAGTGAGTCTATGCGCATGAGTGTGCGAAAGGATACCAAGCTTTGGATGAGAGTATCTGCACGTCACTGGCTGGAGCATGACTGAACGTGACTGAATCCTCCTGGGGTCTCTTGGGGCTTCTTGAAGTCACCTGGGGCTCCTCGGGCCTCCTGGGGCCTCCTGGGCCTTCCTGGAGCTTTCTGGGGCCTCCTGGAGTTTCTTGGAACTCCTGGGGCTTCCTGCGACTTCCTGGGGCTTCCTGAGGCCTCTTAGGGACTCCTGGCGCCTCCTGAGGCTTCCTGAAGCCTCCTGGGGCGTTCCTGGCGCTTCCTAGGGACAGAGCCTCCAGGAGCCTCTTGGCGCTTCCTATGCCTTCCTCGGGCCTCTTGGGGTTTCCTGGTGTTCCTTGGGGCTTCCTGTAGCTTCCTGGGGTTTCCTGGAGCCTCCTGCAGCCTCCTGCGGCTTCCTGGGGAGGCGTCTACCTCAAGAGAGGCCCAATCTATGGGAACATACGTAAAACTCAGCTGGGGCCTGTTGGGGCCTCCTGGAATCGTTCCTGGGCCCTCCTGGTGCTTCCTGGGGCCTCTTGGGGCCTCCAGGCCACCTGGGGCTTCCTTGCGCGTCCTGAGGCCTCCTTGAGCCTCCTTGGGCATCCTGAAGCTTCCTAGAGCTTCTTAGAGCCTCCTGGAACTTCGTGGGGCCTGCCGGAGCTTCTTGAGGCATTCAGGGGCTTCATAGGTGTCATCCTGGGGCATCCTGGGGCATACTGGCCGAGGGCCAGCGGCTCGCAGGAAGGGGCAGTCCGAGGGAGCGGCCTTGAAAGAAGGCAGGGGGGCCTGTCAGAGGGGGTTTCTTCGAGGTCGGCATGCGCCTCTCAGGAGGCGGAGGAGAACGAGGAGTAGGAGGACGAGGACGGGGAGGAGGAGGGAGAGGATAAGGAAGAGGAGGGGGGGAGGAGGAGGAGGAGGGGGGGGAAGAAGATGAGGGGGAGGGCGGAAGAGGATGAAGAGGAGGGAGGAGGAGGAGGAGGAGGAGGAGGAGGAGGAGGAGGAGGACGAAGGGCGGTGTCCCTTCACGGGGGGGGTGAAGAAACGTGTGCTCTGCGGCCCTCCAGGGGCCCACGCCTTTGTGACAGTACGCTCGTGGAAGTACAGATCAGCGCACGATTCACACAATCAGCTCGCAGAGGCCTCCACGCGAAGGAACGCGTGTTGAACGCGTTCACGCCGCGGAATATGAATCAATACGTATGACCGAGATCCTCTTCCTCTGCCTCCTCCCTCCTCCTCTTTCTCCTCCTCCCCCTCCTCCCCCTCCTCCTCTTCCTCATCCTCCTCTCCCTCCTCCCCCTCCCCCTCCCCCCGCCGATGAGCGCCGAACGAGCCAGCCGGGGAGGGCCGACGACGACGACGACGAACCGCTGCCGCCGCCCTCCGCGCCCGAAGGCGGCCGGACGCCGCCGAAGGGCCGCCAGAAGCCGCGGAGAGCCGCCGGGGGCCCGCAGAGGGCGAGGGGCGACAGCGACGGTCGGCGATGGTTTTTTTTACGTTGCGCATTGAGAACACAACAGCCCTAGGAGGCAGGCCGGTTCAAGGTCCCACCTCTTTTTGTTTGTTTTTTGGTTAGGGGCTGCTCTTTAAAATGCGGGTAATGCTCCGCGCCGCCATCACAAAACAAGCTACGCGCATGCACCCATCAGAAAGAAGCACGGTGTGAACAAGTGGAGGCGAATATGGGAGAGGCGCTCAACGGGAACAAGACACCCGAACAAAACCTTTCACGAATTGGATCGATTCGAAAAGTAGCTCTCGCCGTGACGCCGCGCATGTTCGTTTTGAAAGGATCCAGCAGTGGCACGGATGGACGGCGGTGCTGTTTGAAAGCGCAGCTCTCGCGTTAGCGGCGCGCACAGTCGGTTGAACAAATGCAACAGTCGCACAGGTTCGTACGGTTGAACCCTCCAAACATGGTGCTCTGGAACGAGTTCCCATTGACAGGATGGAAATGTCCCAAGCATGCGAAGGGTGTGCGTTTCCAGGCATGTGACTATGGTGGAAAGTAAGGTATCAGGACGGAACCGTCCCAATGATTCGTGGGGTTCAAGTCCTCAGATCTCCAATTCTGATTGTGTGCGGAACGGGGTTCGCGCGTGCGTCGTGCCAAAAACGGCGTTCTAAATGTTTTTTGTTCCGAAAACAAACGATGCTGAATCAAAAAAAAAAAAAGAAACCGCCTGAGACATCCCCGCAATCTAGGCGCGAACGGGAGCCGTGCAATACCCCTGGCGGCCCACCCTGAGGAGTGCTCAGAGCACCACACCGCTCGATACATCCTCACAATCAGCTCATCATCTTCGTACATCGGCATCAGCGTCATCCTCATCATCATCATCATCATCCTCGTTGCTCATCATCATCATCATCATCGGCTCATAATTTTTGTACATATGGAGGGAGGGAGGAAGGAGGTAGAATCGCGGAGGGAGCAAAGATGGAAAGCGTAAAAGAAGGAAGAATTTGACAACAGGGGATGAGGGCAGAGGAACCACGGTGAGAGAGACCGCCGCACGGCATCGCAGCGCCCGCTACTGGCGAGGTTCCGCGCGCAGAGCTGCGGTTGAAGGACAAAATTTCTGGAGGCGTTTAGAGAGCTAATTCCATGGATTTCGCTCCCCGGAGCTCTCGCGCCGGATCCTATGGTTTCCCAGCGTGCCGGAGCCATCCGTGGGGCTCCCAAAGCCCAAGCAGCCCTCCAGAGAGCGAAAAGGCACCTTCAGATTCCAGAGGAGCGTCCAGAAATTCTGTTCTCCAACGGTACATGCGCGCCAGAGAGGAGAAACGGGCAACATCCCTCAGCGCCGAGCGCGAAAAGTGAGAGGCTCCTGGTGACGAAAGCTCCGCGTGCAATAGAGGGGACTCCAACGCCGATCCTTGAGATCCGCGCGGACCTCGGACATGTCGATGCGATGACATTACAGTGGGGGTGCGGCCACAAGAAACCCTCGCAAGAAACCGAACCCTGAAAATCCGCAGAGTTTCCTGCCCAGGGCTTGGGTTTCTTAGCCGACGGCGTAACACGGAGAAACCCAGGGGGCCCTGGCCCGAACAATTTCTTAGCAGGTCGCGCTCATAGAATACGCCAGCACGGCTTCGGTAGCGGGCCGTTTGATTGCCCGAGGTGCAACTGGGAAGAAACCCAGAGGATCCTGGACACGAGAGTTTCTTGGCGACCGCGAGAACCCATCGCGCAACACGTGGCGCGAAGAAACCAAAGGCACCCTGACGAAAGACATCCGGTTTCTTGATGCCCGCCCCCACTGTATATGACATGTGTTCCATATCACCAACTGTGGCGTTGTATTTCTTGGCCCCTGGAGAGAAGAGGGAACGCCTACCCATGCGATTTTGGCACGCCGCCGCAATCACTTGGTCGGGTAGATGTCCCTTGCGCACCACTCTTTGGTCTCCTCGCCTGACCATTTGCACTTGCTCTTGCGAAGCTCCGTCGTGAAGCACACGACGGCGTTGAGGTTGTGGTCCTTGCAACGCTGCAGGTAATCCCGCAGAAAGTTCTTGTCCTTCACAGCCATGACGCCCGTGATCTGGCGGAACGCGTCCTCGCCACGGTTCCAATACCTCATCAGCGACATCGGCGTCGTCGACACGCCGGGAACCCACCGTATGACCACCTTTCGAGCGGCGCGACAACAAACGAAAAGCAATTGCGCGACCAAGACAAACGGAAAACAAAAACAAAAAAGTGAAAGATAAGGAGAAAGATGATGCAGAGAGGGAATACACAGAGCGACAACAAAAACAACACTCTGGACAAACGTATGAAAAACACAGGGGTAGCGGGCAAACAAGAAAACATAAACAAAGCGCTGGAGCCTGCAAGCGTAGCGCAAGCAAACTCACGGGAATGTTTCTTCTTTTGTAAAAACCGGACACAAACGCGAATGAACAATAGCATATCTCGAACAAACAACATACAGAGAAAGAGAGAGAGACTAAGAGAGACGAGAGAAAGAAGGCGGATTGAGAGCAACACCAACAAGGAGGGACCGCGCAGAGCACGTGTGTATCAATCGACACAAAAAAGAAAGCGAACAGACACAGAGATAAGAAAGCGAAAAAAGAGAGAGAGAAAGCGCCAGAGAAGGAGAGAGAATAATTGAGTCACAGGCTGCAGAAACAGCGCCAGGGGATGTGCGACAGAGAGAAAGGCAGCAATTGCGCGAATGCGAGAGAGAGAGAAATAGAGAAAGAGAAAGAAAAAGAGAGAGAGAGAGAGAGAGAGAGAGAGAGAGAGAGAGCGAGCGACGCCCAAACGGAGACAGGGAGAGGGAGAGTGAAAGAGAGAATACCAGAACAGAGAAGAGAGCAAGAGGGAAAGGAAGAGATCGTGAAGGGAGAACGAGCTGAATCCACCTAGAGGGAAAGAGGATCGACAACCATAAAGCAGAGAGGAAGGAAGAGAAAGAGAGAGAGAAGAGAAAACAAAACAAAATAAAGAGAGAGAGAGAGAGAGAAACCAAGAGTAAGAAGAGAGACAGAGAGAGAGAGAGAGAGAGAGAGAGAGAGAGAGAGAGAGAGCGAGAGAGGCACACAAAAAGGCGCGAGAGTGGAGTACACGTGATGGGGAAAAGAACGAGGGGAGGGGAGAGGAGGGGGGCGCATACAGAAACAATCAAAGAAAGAAGAATAATAAGAAGAACATTTAATCCAAAGGACCTTGCCCATCATTTCTTTCTTCTTGTTCGAAAACTCGTCCGTGCCGACGAGGAACCCAAAATGTACCGCCGGCGCGTTCGCGTCGGCCTCTCTGGCGGACTTCGCGACCCTCGGAGGAAGCGGCGCACGCCCGCCGCCCGGAGGAAGCGGCGCACGCCCGTTCGTGGACGAGAGGACTGGCACGCCCGGAGGGGGCGGAGCACCGCGGCCGCCCGGAGCGGACGGCGCACCCCCGCTCGTGCCCACAAGCGCACCCCCGCTCGTGGACGGCAGGACCGGCTGCGTCGTTGCTGCGACCGCTGGAGCTGGAAGCGCCGGCAAAACCGGATGCGCCGCTGCCCACGCGGCGCGTTTCGCAAGGACGCCCGGATCAGCGTCGCGAGCCGCCCGCTTGCGAGCGGCTTTGTTGCCCTGCACTGGCATGACGGACATCGCAGCCGAGTGGAACAGCACTAAGCAGATGAAGCGACTGCGCGGCTTGAATCAAAAAGGCACAGACGGAAAAAAGAAAAGAAAAGAAATACCGGCGGGTCCGGTGGGTCCGGTTTTCTTTTCTTTTCTTTACGTTTTCTCACAGGAATGGGACGATTTTTGCCGCAACTTAAGGCAATTAGACCTGCTCGGCACTGGGACGGAAAGCGCGTTTTAGCTAATATGGTAAAAATATACATTTTCCCATAGGAATGGGTCGATTCTTGCCAAAACTTTCGGCAATCTTGGGGCCCTCTTGGGCCGCATTGGGGCTCTTTGGGGGCCCTCCTGGGCCGTCATGGGGCGATCTTGGGCGCCTCTTGGGCCGTCTTGGACGCATCGAAGACGGAAAAAGCAAATTATGCTAAAAATATACGTTTTCCCATAGGAATGGGACAATTTTTGCCGAAACTTAGGCCCATTAGATCTACCGGGGGCGGCTGCCGCCCCCCCCACACCCCCCCTTGTTATTTCTCCCGACTAACGGATCGCGACGCAAGCGCGCTTTCCGTCATCTTGGGGGTTTTTGGCCGACCCCCCCACACCCCCCCTTGTTATTTCTCCCGACTAACGGATCGCGACGCAAGCGCGCTTTCCGTCATCTGGGGCGTGCGGCTGCCACCCCCCCACACCCCCCCTTGTTATTTCTCCCGACTAACGGATCGCGACGCAAGCGCGCTTTCCGTCATCCGCCGCCCCCTGTGCTCTTGCCACAGGGGTGCCTGGCGTGCTGGACTTCTTAGGTTTTGGTTTTGGTTCTTTTCCAAAAGAACTCCCCCTGGGGCTTCGGCCCGTCCCGCCGGCCACCCGAAAGGATCTTCCAGGACGTCATTTCCCCAATTTCCTGCCCAAGACGGCTCCAAGATAGCCTCCAAGATGCCTCCAAAATGGCCAGGATGGCCTCCAAGAAGGCCCAGATGGCCCCAAGATGCCTCCAAGACGGCCCAAGATGTACCCAAGACGGCCTAAGATAGCCTCAAGATGGCCCAAGGCAGTCTAAGAGGCCCCCCAGAGGCCCACAAGACAGCCCAAGAAGCCTTCAAGAGGTCCTCCAGGCCGGCCCGAAGAGGTCAAAATCGTCGGTTTACCTGAAGTTTTTAAATGATTTTGGCATGTGCACCTTTTCGGCTTTCCGACGGCCCAAGACGGCCCAAGAGGCCCCCAAGGTCGCCGCAAGATCGCCCAAGAGGCCTCCAAGATGGCCCCATGACGGCCCAAGAGGTTCCCAAGACGCCCCCACGAGGGCCCCAGAACGGCCAAGATGGCCTCCAAAAAGGCTCCAAGACGGCTCAGATGGCCCCAAGATGCCTCCAAGACGGCCCCAGATGCACCCAAGACGGTCTAAAATGGTCTCAAGATGGCCCAAGACGGCCCAAGAGGCTCCCCAGAGGCCCACAAGACGGCCCAAGAGGCCTCCAAGAGCTCCTCCAGGAAGGCCCGAAGAGGCCAACATCGTTGATTTTCCTTTGGTTTTTGAAAGATTTTGGTATTTGCGCCTTTTCGGCCTTCCGACGCCCCAAGGAAGCCCAAGAGGCCCCCAAGATCGCCCCCAGATAGCCCAAGAGGCCTCCAAGATGGCCCCACGACGGCCCAAGAAGCCCCCAAGACGCCCCCCAAGAGAGCCACACAACGGCACAAGAGGCCTCCAAGACGCCGAAGATGGTCTCCGAGACAGCTAAGATGGCCCCAAGATGCTTCCAAGACGGTCCAAGATGCACCCAAGACGGCCTAAAATAACCTCAAGATGGCCCAAGAAGCCTAAGAGGCCCCCAAGAGGCCTCCAAGACGGCCCAAGAATCCTCGAATAATTGCTCCAGGAAGGCCCGAAAGGGCCAAAATCAATGATTTCCATTGCTTTTCAAATGATTTTGGTATGTTCTTCTTTTCAGCTCTCCGACGGCCCAAGACGGCCCAAGAGAACCCGAACATCGCCACAAGAGCGCCCAAGAGGCCTCCAAGATGGCCCCATGACGGCCCAAGAGGCCCCCAAGAAGGCCCCAAGAGGGCCCCAAGACGGCCAAAGAAGCCTCCAAGACGCTCAAGATGGCCTCCAAGACGGCCCTGGACGCCCCCTGGAGCCCCCAAGACGGAGTCAGACGGGCCACGAAAGCCCTAAGACGGCCAAAGAGGCCCCCAAGAAGCCCCCGAACGCCCCCAGCATGCCCAAGGAGGCCCCCAAGGGGCCTCCAAGAGGCCTCCAGGAAGCTCCCAGCAGGCCCCAAGAGTGCCCCAAGAGGCTCCAAGAAGCCTATTTCTCCTCCTCCTACTCTTGCTCTTCCTATTCCTCTCTTCGTGCTCATTTTCCCACACATGTTCCCCGAAGGCTTTCCAAACATTTTCGGGGAACACATGGCCGATAGCTTGGCAGACCTCTGGCCACAACATTCGGCCACATCGGTGTTTCCAAAAAGGCAGGGGGCGGCGGTGATTCGCCGTGAGCGTCTTGTACAAATATTGAATGTTCATAACCTTTGGCACGATGTGTTCGCTCTCCGAAACGCCCCAGGACTACCAGGACGCACGTCGATGATCTTCCTCAAGCATATGTGTGGCTTTTGCATACCGAAAAAGGTTTTCTTATCACCTCAGGAGCACATGGCTCTTGCTAGCACCTAAATTCAACTGACCGACGACGCCCGCACAGGTCTTACACAGCGCCACGGCGCGCACCAGGATCTCGCGACCGATGGACGGCCTGTTCTGGGCCACCCACCTGTCTCGAAACGAGAAAGGAATGCGCCAGGGTCTGGCCCCTGACTCAGGAGGGCACTCCTGATTCAATGTCACCACCGCACTCGCCACCGCACGAACGGGGGACGAATGCTGCTTCACTGACGGTGACAATCGGTGCGCAGCTGCTGCTACCTGACAATGCTTGCACTAAAATGCCCGACACTGTCTTCCCACCTCCACCTCCTTGCGCCATAGGTTGCACCCTGGCCCGCCGAAAATTAAACGGGTTCCTACTTCTTGCGCCATAGGTTGCGCCCTGGGGCGCCCTACCAACCCCGATTCGGCTGAGGATGGATTACCACCCCCCGCCCGGACGCAAGAGTTTCCCCCTGCGCCCGATTCGGCCGAAGATGGGTTACCACCCCCGGCCCGGACGCAAGGGTTTCCCCCTGCGCCCGGTTCGGCCGCCGATGGGTTACCACCGACGGCCCGGAGACAAGGGTTTCCCCCTGCCCCCGATTCGGCCGAGGATGGGTTACCACCCTCGGCCCGGACGCAAGGGTTTCCCCCTGCGCCCGATTCGGCCGCCGATGGGTTACCACCGACGGCCCGGAGACAAGGGTTTCCCCCTGCCCCCGATTCGGCCAAGGATGGGTTACCACCCCCAGCCCGGACGCAAGGGTTTCCCCCTGCGCCCGATTCGGCCGCCGATGGGTTACCACCGGCGGCCCGGAGACAAGGGTTTCCCCCTGCCCCCGATTCGGCCGAGGATGGGTTACCACCCCAGGCCCGGACGCAAGGGTTTCCCCCTGCGCCCGCCAACACATCACCAACTACATTCGAAGGCGGTCCTTCACTTCTGGCGACAGCACCACCAAACGACGTGCGAGACCACCGACAGGCACACCTCTCGCGCCAGACGTGATGCTGGTAGCGGGACCTTACGATATCCTCGTCCAGGATTTCGAGGCGGATGAGGAGATGTCGACCTCCTTCCTCGCGCTCATCGTTGCGACCTGCGACCGCCTATTTCGCCACGCTTTGCACCTCCACCACAAGACCATCGCCATATGTCCTATCATCCCGGACAACGCTCCTGGGACTTGGGCACAGCAAGTCGTCACAGCCACCCTTGCGGCTCTCAAGGATATCTCCAGCAAGCACGCGCCGCACGGCGTCGACGATATAATACTCTTCGTCGATCCAGGACGACATGGCTACGCCGTGCGCACTGCCACGTTTGAATCGAAGCGAAAGCCCCATTTTGAAAAACAGCCGCCCTCCATCCATAAAACTGTTGCAAACTTCAAGCTTCAGGATTATACACGGCGAGGAAGTCTCAGGCGAGAACTCATTTTCAAAAAGGAACCGCCCTCCATCCCTGTAAGTGTTGCAAATCCCACCAGCCCTCTGGGCGTAGGTGGTCTAAATCAGATCCTCTTCCACCCCTCCCTCTTCCCCCTTGGGGAGGGGTTTACCCCTCCCCATACCCCCTCCCCTGGACCTGGAAGGGGGGGGGGGGCGCGAGGTGTCAGACGGTGCTTTTTCGCCCAAGACGGCTCCAAGAGCGCCTCGGAGAGCCCAAGATGAGCTCCAAGATGGCTCAAGATAGCGCAAGATCGCTCGAGATGGTTCCTAAGATGGTTCCAAGAGGCCCCAAGACCGCCCCAAGATGGTTCCAAGAGGCCCCAAGAAGCGCCCAAGAGACCTCCAAGAGGCTTCCCAGAGAACCCTAAGAAGCCTCAAGAGGATCTCCGAAATGCATTTCAGACGCTTCTGTCTCTTCGGTTCGCCGTCCTCTTCAATTTCTCATCCACCTCTTCCTCCTCCTCCTTCTCCTCCTTCTCCTCCCTCTGCTCCTTCTCCTCCTTCTCGTCCTCCTCGTCCTCGCCCTACTCCATATCCTCCTCATTATCATCCTCCTCCTCCTCCTCGTCCCCTTCCTCCTCCTCCTC